CTTTTGGCATTTGATGGAACTTTTCATAGCAATACGACTTACGGTGAGTAAATATTGGAGAGTGTGAATATTTAACAGAAAATAGCAGAACAATTTGAATATCGATAATGTTATGAATATTGATTTACATATAAAAGACATTTTGGCAGCAGTTCTTGTAAAAAATACCAAAAAAATCCCCATCATAGAATTTGTGTTAAGCAAGTGAGTTCGCAAATGAAAAATAGCAATATCACTAATTTTAGCGAAAAATTTATCAAGTAATACCATTGTAGTATTTGTGAGATTTTGAAGGAATTGGCACCTCAGCTTCATTTTCCTTCACAATGGGTGGACAGAGTTCAAGTTCTAAAATGATTGAGAAAAAAAGTTATGGCTTTCTATTTCTACATCTTTATAAAAAATGTGGGAAACTTCCAATGAAGGAAGAAATCAATCAATATCAAAATAAACTTCTCCGACACAAACTGCAAGAAAAATTTCTCTAAAACTACTTTCATATGAACTTTGAATTCAGTTTGTACTGTCAATATTCGTTACGGCATTGAATCATATATCATTCATAGGATTGCTACACAATATAGTATACGAAAGAGGTAAAATTCCACTTATATGAAACACAGTCATCCTCAATGGCGAACATTGATGTTTCGGAATAAAAAACTTGTTCTAAAGCCTCTTTAGCACCAATCTGGAAAACATTACAAGAAGAAACACTCATTTCATTCATAACGTGATTTCATGCCACGGATGACTTAAATCTACTCATGTCACAGTAAGTAGATTCAATGACATTCATTCGCTTATTCAATTCAATCACAGACAAAAAAACTCGTTCAAACTGAAAGGGGTATATTTTTTAAAGAGAAATATTTCGGGGAATGAGAAGGTATTTCTTATTCCGAAACATCGATGTCCGCCATTGAAGATGACAGTGTTCCAAGTAAGTTTAATTCATGTAATTCAATGTTTATATGAAAGTAGTTGTTCCAGAAGAACTTCTCCTTCCAATTTATATCTGGAAGTAACTTCCATGCATGATCCATAAATCTTTGTGGAGAGTTTATTTCGAAATTAGCTTTCTTTCTTCCTTTAATAGTTTCTCGCATTTTTCGTATGAAGATGGAGAAATGAAAAGCCCAATCTTTCTCTCCCAAAAATTAATCCCCTCTAAAAATATAATCCTTTCGATTCATTCAAAACAGTATTCTTAGTATATGATGGAAGTTGGTGAAAAACATGTTCAGTGAAAATTCCACAGTAAGGTTTTTTTTGAGTATGTATCCCACATTTCTTTAAAATTATGTTTCGGTAATAAAGAAATAAAGTACAAATATTTCTATATTTTTTGTTTTGACGATAATTCAAAATTTTTAAACCCTCACTGATCATTTTATCATGGGTTTTGTGTAGGTAGACATAGTTGTAGTATCTACAAATACGTATATACAAAATTTATAATGAATTCATCAGCACTAGAAAAAATGAAGACATATATATTTCGTATAATCGTCTGTCATTTTGTCAAAAATCTCAGAAAATTCGTCGACTTCGGTAATATAATTTGTTACCGAAAGTTTATTGAATTCGTTGAATATTTCCATTGACTTATGACAATGAGTAATATTACCTAGGTCAACGTCATCATCATGAAAAGAATAGCCACTCTAACTCTCCAAGAAGATGATGTTGATAGCTTCGAAGTTATCACGAGCTGCTCACGCACGAGCTGAAGGGTACTTTTCTTTTTCTGCCTCTTTCCCAAGCAAATTGACGTTTCTGAAGGGCTAGTTGAAGAAGGTAGCCTATGGCTTCCTCTAAAGAGCGACGATATCTATATTTGATACGAGAAGGAGCAGATGTGTACAAACCTCATCCTGAGAGTCAATTCCATCAGGAGAAGAAATCGTGGGTTGGGTTATTCCATTTGCAGCGACAGTGAAATACATAGATATTATAATTGGTACAAAAACTCGCCTACACTCACTTGGATCAGGTCCTACTCAAAACTAGACAATCTCTGTGGACTCAGATCATTGTTCTCGTTAGGAGTAATTGCCCTAATGCCTCAAACTGTTAACTTCGAACTGCTTTATAAAGTCATAATCTCAGGTAGAGGAACAAACACTGAAAGACGAGGAAGATAAAGAAGCTACAGACTTTTTTGCAAGAAGGGACACTACATATGGTTTCGATGGACCAGCACCTGTCATCAGTATCACTATTCGTCCCGTCAAGTGGAACCTGAATCCCGCACTGCAAGAACAGTTCTAGACTTCTGGCAGAATCCACCAGGATCAACCTATTTCAAGGCATCAGAATATCCTTCAAAGAATGTATCAAACAGTTGCTAGCGTTTGCCTGCGTTTTTCCATCAGGCCTACTTCCAGGTCGTTTGGAATCACCATACAAAATACTTGAGCGTATGTGTCATCTTTGTTCGAAGGGTAATGAAACAGCAAAGCATATACTTTAAGCGTGCCCGTCGCACCAGGTTTTCAATACTTGGTAGAGTTTTAGTTCCTGGCCCTGGAAAATTACTCGACAACTGAATAATTTTCCTCGCTGAAGAACTGGATTCATTCGTGACTCACACATTAGTGTGAGTCACAATATTCACATAGAGTGTTGAAGTGAAGAGTCAAATTGATCCACTCACTTTGAATGTACGTAAATAAATGTAGAGTATTTTATTTAACCTAACCTAACTTAACTGGATCTATTAAACCAAATTATCAAAAAGAACAATCATTCAGAACAGTCTCAACTCGCCTATACTGTAGGTTAGGACTGACACCTATTAGAAAACAACTACTCCCCCTGGCTAATACCACGAAGGGCGTTGGATTATATCCGACAGGTGTCAATGCAGAATCTTTCGCGGAAGTAATTCCTGGATATGCTCTTGACGATACACGTACGGAATTTGATCTTCAATTACTGGAACGGGTATACTTGCAGACCGGTTTCAGGCAATTGGTCACTCGTCAGTGTAAGGTAGTGTCCATCATCAACTTAAAGTCGATGATTTCCCATGATTGAAAATCGAATTCCTTTCAGATTATCATTCCTCGAACAAGGCTGAATCGAATGACAACAAATTTGTCATGGCCCCATCTGCCTGTAAACGAGGTAACCAACCGCATATCCGAATCGCTCAATTATTTGTATGAGAAAAAAGCTTCACATAAACTAAGGGAGCATACCTACTTGGAGAGTGGCTGTAGATCAAATTATCTAATAGAACAATTCGTTCAGGTCAGTCTCAACTCTGTAGGTTAATGGACTGAGACCCCTATCAGAAAACAACTACCCTCCTGACTATTACCACGACTGACTGGATTGACACCTATCAGAAAACAACTTCTCCCCTGGAAAATATTCTCCATTGCACAAATATTTCGTGTTTTTCAGTATCATGGGCTCCGGCATGTTTAGCCTGGTCGAGACTCAACAAACATCTAGCTCCTTTCATTCAGTGGACTCTGACTGGTGGCGTTTTAGGCATCCAGTGGAAGGACAACATGTTGAGACAAGTAGTATCGGTTCGATATAAGGAGCATAGGAAATGGGCGAATCAAATGCTATTTGATTATTACAACGTAAGTGACTTATTTTCCCGAATTCCGCTATTGAAATATGTTTGTGATATAATAGTTTTATTGTAAAAACTAGCTTTGTAATGCCCCATTTTGTAATTACTACTTCAGATACTTTGTTTTTCTACGGATGCTATACAATGTGCCACTTCTCTCATCGGTTTCATATGTTCAAAACGAAAGATTTCTCACGCATATAGAAATATACGCCATTACAGTGAGAAATAATTATCTGTGTTGTCACGATAACCCAAGTCAGTCATGAATTGTTGCATGTCAGATTGATACGACACGTTCTCCTTGTTGACAACGCTACGCCGTGCAATATCCAAGTATCCCATTGTCGGCGTTTCCATAACAACAAAACCGAAGCACTGCATAATTATTTAAAACTGTGTTGAAAAATATGCTTCAAAATAGTCAAAAACATTAACTTCTGAAGAAATTCAACAATTTTTAAAAGATGCACCTGATGAAAAGTATTTGCTGATAAATTGAAAATTTTTAAATTGTTATCAGTTTAGATTAGATTAGATTTCTTTGTTTCCTTCATTATGATGAACATTTACATTTCGTATAGGAATTGTCAAAGCACATACACATATTCAACATAAAACAAGTAAATAAATAAATACGAGGTGAAACAAATACAAATATTCAGATAAAATATGATTAATCATGAGGCAAAAAGATTAAAATATTTATTCAGTGTATAAAAACAATGGTCGAACAGAAACGACTTCAGTCTATTTTTGAATTTCGTTGGGTTTTTGGTGGTTTATATTAATTGAAAATTTTAGCTCCCATTAATTTAGGAGAATTTTGAGTAATTTTATATTTAGGGGTCTCACTTTTCAGGGTGAAATCGGTTTTGTTCGTAAACACATAGACGCATAACTCAAAAATATATATACACACTAGAGTTAAAATTTCATATCTGTTAAAAATTATTTTGCAGGAATCTCTCTGAGAAATATCAAATATACATCGAAGTATTGCTTTTTGTGCAATAAAAACATTCTTGCTCATTGTTGAGTTGCCCCACAAGCAAACACCGTAACGCAACCTGGATTCGACCTGAGCATAATAAACCTTCATTAGTTGGTCTTTATTAAGAACAACCCTCAAATTTCTGAACATGTTGAGTTACTGAGTTAAGTTAAGTTACTGAGCTTAATTTGGATACTAGCTGATCACAATAGGCATTCCAATTTAAATTTTCATCGATATGTTTACCTAGAAATTTTGCAGTGTGAGTACTTTGCAGGTTTGTGTTGTTTGGTAATTATGAAAACGAATTACTTGAGTTTTTTTGGTATTTAAAACTGGATCTTGATTTTTGAGATATTTGGAAGTCAGAGTCATAACATTTTCATATTTATTAATTAAGACATCTGTTCGTTTATCAGGTATAAGTAATGATATATCATCTGCATAGGCATAAAATAGGGGGTATGAAATTTCTCTATCTATATTGTTCATATACAGTATGAAGAGAATCGGTCCCAGGATGGATCCCTGTGACACTCCAGTCTGAACCGTTTTCTTCTGTGGAAGAACAGATAGTATCTCCATAATCAAATTTATGAGACACGCATTGATTTCGATTAGTGAGAAACGAAGAAGCCCAATTGAAAGAATTTCCCCTCAGACCTTAAGATTCCAGAATATTCAATAATTTTACATGAATGACGCAATCGAACGCCCTGCTTAAAACACATAAAATTGCAGCAGGGCACTCGCCCGCATCAATAAACTTCACTAGGTCATCATAAAAATTAAGTAAAGCAGTTTGAGTTGATTTTTCTGATCTGAAACCATGTTGCATTGGTATTAAAATTCTATGAAAATTTATGAATTCCATTAAACGTTCCAATCTTTTTTTTTAAATTACAAAAATAGCAAATGTACAAAACAGTCTGGGGGGATAAATAAATTTGGCACCATGGCGAAAGAAATAGCGAAATTTTTGCAATTACCGAACCCTGAATTATATACTGACCACTGTTTCCGAATATCATCTGCGACTATTTTAGTAAATGCAGGGGCAGATCTTTCAACTTTAAAACGCCATGGGGGTTAGAAATCCAACAATGTTGCTGAATCTTATATCAACAACTCCATGGGTTACAAAATGAAAATTCCAAAAAGTATAGTAGAAACCATTCAGCCTCCAGCGCCATTAGAACCTGAACACAACAATGCTGTGGAAGCTCAGTACGTTTCCCCGTCATCGCAGCTAATATTTAAATTACCGAAAACATGTTGAAACAACATTGTTCAAATATAACTGTTAATTACTGTTTTAAATAAGTGAGTTAATGACATACGAGTATTACTATGTATGTATTTTAATTTTCAATACTTGAAAACAACGCAACCGTAGAAAAAGTACAGTGTACAATGCCTCGCCTTCGGCTCGTGCCAACAAACTTCTGCGCTCATGAGAAATATGTCGTTTTTATCACTTGTTGTACAATATACTATTTCATGTCGATTATCTAGCTTCAGTCGGTTAGGTAGGCTGATACTATGATGATTTAACAATTCATTCGTGGTTCACTCTAGTACCATTGATGAGACCTATATAGGTCTATATAGTGATGATGGATCACAAATGCTTTGTTTTTGGACTCTGGTTTCTACTGCTTGTCTTGCAGTGAAAGCTGGTTGGTGAAATTCGGGTCAAAAATAGTATTGGAGCTCTGGTATTTGGGAGCAGTGGTTGTTTTGGATAACGCGTTACAACTACAAACTAAAAAAAAAATCTGACCACCAGCCACAACAAAAGAGGAGGATAATCAAAACGTTGGTTGAGAGAGCACGACGTATCTGTGAACCTGGGAGTCTTCCTGAGGAACTCAATCACCTAAAAATACCCTCGTAGGGAATAGGGGGAGCGAATTAGAATAGTAATATAAAATGAGAATCAAATACGAGAATCGTACTCACTTGAAATGCGGTCGAGACTACGAGAGCAACAACCCGAGCAACAAGTCGGGTGCATTGCATTTGATAATGTATACCGCAGTAGTAAATGAAACGTCCGGCATAAAAACTCTGCAGATCATGGCTGAAAGACCTCAATTAACTACAGGACAATTTCAATTTTATGTAACTTTTCTAAACCCTTCGAGATATGTGTGCAAAATGTTATGTACTCCCATATTCAAAAAGTTAATTCTCCTACTCAGCATGGTTTCGTACAAAAAAGATCATGTATGACAAATCTTGAATGTTTAAATCAATATCTCTGTACGTACCTGGACAAGCAAAAACAAGTCGATGTTGTTTATTACGACTTTCAAAAAGCCTTCGATCAAATAGACCATTATATACTTCTCAGAAAATTGACAAAATTGGGACTCTCTAACCAAATGCTTACTCTAATTGAATCAGATCTAGTTAACAGAAAACAATCTCAGTACGTAGTTAAATCTGGGGTACCACAAGGTTCTACTCTTGGACCTCTTTTAGTTTTAATTTTTAATAATGACTTGGCAACCTCTTTGAATATTCCTAGCCTACTATTTGCAGACGATCTGAAACTATATTATGAAAGCGACGACATTACTGACTGCCAACGTGTACAATATGAATTAGATGTAATCAAACTTTGGTGTAATAATAATCGTCTACAACTGAACGTATCCAAATGTAAAATAATATCA